AGTTCTACGAAGAAAAAAGCCCAGGAAGTATGCAAACTAGACACCAGGATACTCAGTATATGAAATTTAATCGAGATTACACAGAATATAATGTAAAAACAGCAGTTTACTAGAATAATTATAATCTGCAACACGTGAAAACAGTTTAGAAAGTGGATTAAGGTCTTACCTTCTGAAGTAGGCTTACTGGAAGTACAGCTATAGAATCAAGTTTTAAGTATCAAGCCTGATACTGCCTTTTTTGATCATCAAATCAACTTGAACCAATAGCTTGGTATAAATTCAAGCAGTAATCACGGCATTGATTAGTGAACTAAATCTTTTCCAATGAGACTGTTAAGTTTATAGAGCCACATGAAATATATTTCTTGATAGTAATATTTTGGTAAATATTTTAGATTAAAAGCACATTCCTCCTCAACGCTGGAAACATTGCTTACACATATCTCCTGGGACAGTCCTCAGATTGGCCGAAATAAGAATGCTTGGCCTGTTGCATGTAACTCTTCACTAACAAATGTGCATTTATACACCAGAGACTAGAATGTGAGAGATTAATCCCAGTAGGAATTTTTGGGAACTGTAATTTTGAAAACAAGACTATCTTAGATAATTATTTTTTAAATTGGGTATATTGACTGGCCTAAGCATCAACATTCTCCTTGAACAATCAGAGTTACAAAAACTGTACATTACAAACAGTATAGAAACAAGCAGAAAAGACAGTGCCTACATCCTGAATAATTACCTATGCAAATAAATTTACAGATATAAAAGAAAATACAGCCTACTCCCTTACAGTGTGCAGTTATTCTTTAGATACAGTGTATCGCTAGTAGACGGTGGTCACTCGGGCTAGTTGTCACCAGCACAGAGAATAAGAGCAAGGTCTGTTCGGTACAGCTTCCCTCCATCCGACAAAGCCATTATACTCTTCTTGTATGTTGGAATATTATTGATATCTAGCTCCTGTATAGACAGAGACAGCATTGTAATCCAGTCAAATATGGAATTCAATTAATCACTGTCAGTGGTAAAATGTGGGGTGAAAACTGCTTATTACATCAACCCATTAAGAAAAGCTGGATTAAATTCTTATTCAAATATGGAATAATCATAAGACTGTTTTAAAATCTATTTATGACAGTTAAGCTGAATTAGGCTGTCGCAAATTGAGTTAAGAATTGGACCCGACTCCTCCTTGCCTGATCGTTCAATACATCTCTAAGAGCGATATTGCAGTTAATTCTGGAGAGGCTGCAGAATTCGCTTAAAAAAGTGTGAGCGGAACCAAGTTACCTGCTTATTCTTTTCACACAGATCCTTCAGTAAGGCATCAAGTTCATTTTCATCTATGTATCCGTTTCCGTCCTGGAGGCAGACAGGGTCAGAGAAATAAAACACACAATCAACTCCATCTACCATAATGGAGCACGACATAAAATGGAAATCATTGAAATCCTCAGGAAACATCCCCACAGACTATTTAGCAGACTCTTTAAACTCCTGGGATTTTAAAATTCCTATGTTGTTCGTGGTCTAGTTGATTCTGTTAGCGCCCCGCTGCTCCACCGGATTTTCAAGGGGGTAATTTTTTAGAAGCCGATCCCAAGCCTGTTTTCCCGAGGTGCCGCTGGGTAGCTGCAAACGGCCAACTTTTCAGCCAGTTGAGTCCTTCACTGCCTGGGACGTCAGAATTTTTAACTGCCCCCAAATTCCAAAATAGCTACGAAGTGCCTGTCATTCAACCCTTAGATTTTTTAAACACCTTGACTTGTTCTATGTACTTTCACAGCTCACCTTTGACTCTGTGTTCACAGTACCGCCTTTTTTTGAGGTCAATCATCACAAATGTGTGTCCATATGTCAAGTACTATGATCTCTTGTTTACAAATGAAGAACGTGAAGTTCAGAGGAGTTTGGTATCTTATTCAAAATCTAACAAACAGCAGATCAGTTGTGGTGGGGAATTTGAGTCAAGGTATGTCTAATTGGGACCATACCATGAAACATTTTGGAATGAGTTAGTAAGGAATGCATTCGTTTGTTGTGTCATTTCAGTATCTATCTTTAGTTTACTTGGAGTTGGTGAGAGATTTTTCCTTAGTGGAAATTTCCCAAATTCTTCTAAAGATTCACGTGGTAGGTAAGAACAACTTGTACCTGATCATATAACTCGAATGCCTTATTGAACTCTTTCCCACACATTTTGATGCCCTAAAAGAGAGAAAAGGTTCAAATGCTATTATTATAGTTCGTGCGAGTCTCTTGGTAAATCTACCGCATTCTGAATTCTCAAGAAACATACAGCATTATGGCAGAGAAAAAGTTAAATACCTGAAATTTAAGAAGAAAATTCTCTTGTACTGGTAGTAACCTTTTGAAAGAAAAACATTGAAGTAATACATTAGTTTTTATGGGGTCTTTCCCCACCCCCAAGGTCAGCTTACTATAATAATATTTGCATGGTTTCTAAACTCACCTCGCCATCTCAGTTAATTCCAGCTTCCCATCATTATTTGAATCAAATAATTTCAGCTGAAAGACAGAAATCATTATTCTAGCCGTTGAAGAATGATTATCAAATATGTATATAGACAACATTCTAGAAACTAGAATATACTATTAACTCCCAATATGTAACTTGAGTCAATTGCCAATGTTCATCACAATAATACAGAATAGTAAAATAAAGTGGCCCTCATCAGTTCTCTCGACGATCATCATTTTTTTGGAAGTGTGGGTGTGTGTGGGTGAGAGAGAGGGGTTGGGGGAGAAGGAAGGAAGGAGTCTGACAGTATGTGGTATCCCTAGAATCTCTCCAAAATGGTATGAAAATAAATAAATGTATATATCTTCCCTCCTTTACAAAATAAGAGACCCAAGAGAAAGGGGTGTAGATAACTCCTTGGTGAAGAGAACTTTTGAACAAGTTTGAACGAATTTGTTTTCCATCAGGTACTAGAGACTCAGTAATGCCCCTGTTAGACTTACTATGCATCACTCAATCACACTCAGACACGACACTGTAAAAGTCAGACTTGAGAGACAGTGTCACAATTTGAGAAAGTTATATAACGTTTCCTATGTTATATGTAAGTACTGCATCTAAGATATACAATATAGTCTAAATTTGAATATTAAATGTGTGAAATAAATTTTGTTTTAATGAAAGGCTTAATGTTTTAACAAGAGGGTTGATGTTTTAATGAAAGGATAGTGATCATGGTTATGCTGAAAACAGGTTTGGGAATGTTTCTTTTGGAAGAAAAGGCAAAGCATTCTATGGTATGATTTCTAGGTAGGCAGCTTTTTCAGGACTCTATATCAGCACACTTTATTGTTCATTGAACATAGTTCTAATATTGTCACACTCTTTTCCAAGGTACTACACAAGTAGATCACAGTTTAGTGCCCTTGGGGAAATATTTCCCCAATACATATTTAAATTTTAATTAGTTTTTGATTAACTTCTTCCTGAATTTGAACTGGTTTATGACATTTAATCAGATATGCTAGGCCAATCCAACAGGGGCTAAACTCCCATCTGAGTGGTTTTTAAAAGCCTACTTCAAATTTCTACCTGGAAAGGAGTCTTTACTTTAAATAGATAACCCATAAAAGTGGAACAAAACAGAAAATTGATAAATGTAGGTTACTGTCCCTTATCTAAAAGTTACTCAGAGTTTAGATCTAGCTGTACATTACAACAGAAAGCCACCTGTATACTAACACTATGATAAATAGTAAGGTAATGAGGAATTAAAAGTGGCATTTCTTTAGAGGGGGACAGTTCTGCATTATAATGAAAACTATTGTCTAGTGAATAAGACAACAATAACATTCTAGAGACTCGCCACTCCCATAAAGATTCAGTTCTACTCCATCCTTTAGAGTCGGCATGAATTAGAATAAACTCCATAGCAGTGAGTTTGACTTGTTCATTCTGTTTTTTAAGTGTTATTTTCTTTTTCTCTAAGTAAAAGTAAGCAAAAAAGCTGAAAATAAACCTCATTTACATAAAACAGAATCAAATTCTTTTATAAGATTGTTTCTCCAGGTAACTGAAAAGTTTAACCCCTTCATTGATCTACTATAACAGGAGCTTTTATGATAGATATGTTTTATTTATAATAGATAGGTTTTATTGGCTTATTTATTTAAATTCATAGTGTAAGAATTCACTGTACCTTCATAGTATTTAAGGTATGTATAAATCCATGTAGCCATTTGTGTTATTTAAAGCCTTGCCTTAATTCCAAAATATAAGTAATTAAAGTGATGCCAAAATAGGGGCCAATGAATTGAGTTTGGGGAAGGACTTTTTCTTGGTAGCCCCAATCCTGTAATGAATCAAAATGAGCAAACTTCACTATTTGAAATGAATTAGCTTCGAGGATAATGGGTTATTTCATATAGAATACCCTTAGTTTATTTTTACTACTTGCTATGTAAACAGGCTGGGTATATTTGGATTTCCATACTCGTAACTCCAGCTCACTGAATGCAGTGGCTAGAAAGTTGGTTAGCTCTGATACAATCTATGATATCCTAAGCCATGATGAAATGGGTCCAGAACTTCCATGATAAATGAATTTTAGAGATATAATTACAATGACTTTTTAAGAAACACACGTCTCTTGATAAAAATTTCCTAGCTCCAGGAGAAAGAAATGTTCGTGTGTGGAACCTTAGAGCCAATGCCTGCAGCCCTCAGCATCACATTTATCCGTGATAATCATCCTTACGTATTTCACTTTTCATCTGAACCAATGCAACACCACAACAGAACTTATTTACGCCATGCTGGGTAGCCATAGGAATCAAGAAGAACACAGTCATACGTCAAAATCTCTTGGCTACAGTCTTTTCAAGGCCAGTCTTACCATTAGGTCTGTATACTCGGCTAATTTTGTATCATCCACAGTTTTGTTTGCTTTTTCTAGCAAGTCCTTTAGAAAGTTCTGTTAAGGCAAAGAACATTCAGGTAAATGCCATTAACAATGCGCAATCTGCTTCCATTTCAGCATGCCTTGAAATGGAACACCCCAGGGAAGCAAGGGAAGTTTCTTTTTGAGGAGAAAGGGTGAAGAAAGGGTGTTAGAACTGGGACTAAGAGAGGTCGGGTCCTGTCGGCATCCCCGCTGTGGAACCACTATAGAAAGGTACGACATTTACCTTTCCCTGCGACTTGATCCTTCAAAGTCTGTGCGGTAAAGCATTGTATGATTTCAGTTAAAGGAGTATTTAAGTGAGTGCTGTGTAGAAGTCTGAATAAACCCTTTTCAGATCAATCCGCTCAAAGGATGCATTTCTACAGAAAGGCATCTTCATGTGAAATACAAACCTCTTCCTTCGATATGTCATTTGTGAAAAAGCGTACCAGTGAATCAGATGAAGGCTAGATCGAATTTCACATGTATTCTCCACCTTCGCAAGCAGTATTTCCACATCCGTGGATAACCTTAGTTTACACGAGGGCTATCTGGTTAGCTTTAAAGTCAATGAGTGCTAATCGCCCGTCAGAATGCTTCTGCACATTTTAAGTGGAAATGGCTGGTCCGAGATGATGTCACTGAATCCTTGAAGGATATGTGAATCATATTAAAATAGAGATTAATGTGGGAAGAATGAAAAAAGATGATTATTAGTTTGACAGTTGGAGTGAAGAAATGGATTTCATTTTTTTAACAGAAATAAATCAAATAAGAGCTATTCAAAGGCTTACCACATAAATGACAGTGTGAGTACTTAAACTTATAATAGTCTTTGGTTTCTCTAGTGATGTTCATTTGAAATGCCCTTATTGTTCAGAAAATGAATTAATGCAATTATGGAAAAACAGCCGATACAGTGCCTGGATATTATTGAAGAATTGGGTTTCTTTGGTTCTGCAGTAATTTAAATTCTCCTCTCCTGTCTCAAATGTATCAGTTCTCTTGAGTTGAATCGACTTCACTCTTTTTAATGAAGAAGACATTTTCCCTAGTTTGATAAAAATACTTCCACTTCAAACATTCCACTTCAAATCCAGAGTGAAACATGGAAAATTCAAAGGAAGCTGCTGGAGGAGAATTGTATTTTTGAGCTTTATGAAGCTTTTGTCAGAGATTAATTGGGTCAAAAAGCCTCATCAGAGGCTAGAATGGTGGTCACAAAAATAGTCTGGCAGAACCTTGGGACTCAGATTCAAAGGTGTATCTGCGAGGAAGAGATGTTTTACTCTGTTGCACATCTTAAATTTAGCTTGCTTGAAAGATCCATTAAAAAAGAATGCCAACTTTAAAGTTCTCTAGGGAGGAGGTCTTCTATTTAGAATCTCTTTCTGGGAATAAAATTTAGCACAAAGAAGGAGCCCTTTAGAGTACTTTGAGGTCAGTATAGGAAATGAGCTCAGGTGGTTATTTTGAACTTGAAACTGTTGTTTTTAATTTTTATTTGTTAGATAAACTGTTGTGGCAATGGAATAGAAACACGATAGCCTGACTGTCACCTTGTAGACTCTCCGTTGCTGAGCCACAAGCGCATTGTAAATGGTGCTGCTTTGAGTGATTTCGTATTTAGAATGCTTACACTTTAAAGAAGGCTGCGGCCCAGTGTGCTTTAGCAATTTTGTTAATGGTGCAATGGGCCTAGTTCCATCTCTAAAATTTTATACAACACAAACCATGTTGAATTATAACCAGGAAATGATGTTTGATACCTCTATTTCCATCCGTAACAGCCAAAAAGCCCAAAAGGTGCTCTTGAACTGAAGCTTGACAGCAGGTGGTGTTGTGGGAAACCCCACAACGAGGAGCATGTTGGGTGTCCTACATCCCAATCTAGGCTTTTCCTGGGCGGTCATTCGATCTTCAACAGTGGTCTGTCTCACTAAACGTCCGTCTCTCTTTATAATGGGTCTGTTAATACTTGTTGGCAAGGTTTGTTGGTGAAGGTTCAATTTTAAAAACATCTCAAGTCATGAGTACGCTGCCAGTGACAGTCAGCGCTCAGTAAACGTTCACTCTGAAGACAGATGGAGAAACCTCGAATGGATCTGAGTTGATGAATGAATACCGATTTGACATCTTTGTAAAAACCAGTATGCGTCTTATTTCTGCCTGGCCTCCAGTAAATAATTGAACTATTTTGTTAGATATTTAGATTTCAAAGATGACAAGATACTTAGTGTATAATGAATTTCAGTATTTTCCCTTGTCTTTTCATTCCCTTAAAAATACATTTTTTTAAAGAAATTGGGCGAAGCAGATCAGTTTTCCACCCAACGGTTCTTACACATTTTGTTGCATGTCAACGATTTCAGTCCCCTCACTGTAACATCACTTTTTACATTTCCCTACTGTTTCCTGTTTCGGTTTCTCCTTCTAGCCTATCCCTTCTGAACTTTGTCATTGACTTGTGGAAATGCTGCCCCTTGAGTCTGAAATCACTGTTTTTCTCAAAGGGTATGCCCAACATTGGTGTTACTGTTTCCTTTATAGACCTAACTATTGCTTAAAAAGGGAGCCAAATCTAGAGTTCATTTCCAGATCTAAAGGCGAGTCTACTAGTCTCTTTCTGAACAGATAGAGGTTTTTTATGATTTTGAGATTTCCTTCAGAGTTTTCTCCTGCTTTTCTCAGAACCCTTTAATGTGACCCCTTCCAGAGCAGTTGGAAGTGGGAAGCAGGTGCCGTCGTGTTCTGGTCTCAGGGTTGTAAAGACTGATGCTTGGGTGGTCTGTTAGTCTATTGGACTAGTTTTTTCCTTGCACCTTAGATTTCTTTCCTCTTCTATGGAGGTGTTTGATTTATAGATTATAATTCCATTTTTCAAAGCAAAGGGCTGCCTCATGAGGCTGAATATAACAGTTATATCTGTGCGCTGATACATCCATCTCAGAGAACAATTTGTATTCACCAGGGAGAATGCTAATTTCTTGCACTGCTGAACAGAACTTCAAGAAGTACTTGACGTCTCTTTTTTGATCTAGTAATTCATTAATGATATGTAAGAGTGGGTGAAAATATGCCATTGCTCAACATTAGTTTCTTTTGTGGGAGGTTTTTAAAAAAGATATGAAGCCCTTAGCAGTTCATAATTGTATTTGAAAAAACAAACAGGAGAACTTAGAGCAAGTTTTTCTTTGCTTACCTTAAGTTCCTCGGTTTCTATGAAGCCACTGTGATCAGTATCATACTTTCTCCATGTCTGTAAGCCATTTTTAATAAGGAAAACCAACAGATTAGAAAAATCCCAGCCATTTTCATACTTTGAGCAGCTTTCTGAGGACCTCATTCAATGATAGCTTGCTTTCTCATACCTTCATGAATTCCTCGCAAGACTTCAGCTGCTGGCATCGGAAGAGCAGCAGGAAGTTTTCTTCTGTGGGTAATACATGAGCCAACTGGAAGAGATTTAAGAAGAGAGAGGTCATTGTCAAGAGCTCCCAAGTGAATCTCTGTAACAGGTATCACTTGCTGCTTAGTTAGTCTTCCGTATTTTCTCTAGGAGCAGGTTCACTTCCCAGAGAGCTCTAGACTCATGGCCATCAAGTCAGCTGGGACCATTGTGGTGCCACAGATAGGGGGGAACTGCCCTTGTGGGTTTCCAAGGCCGTAACTTCACGGGCGTACGAAGCCTCATCCTTCTCTGGCAGAGTGGCTGGAAGTTTCAAACTGTTGACCTAGGTTAGCAGCCCAGTGTGTACTCACTGGGAGAGGAAAAACATCAGAGTCCACTTTCTTTTTCTGGTACTTTGTTCTTAGAAAGTGACATCATATTTTGAATGCATGCATGCCACTGGTGCTTGGTTCTCCCCTCAGTGTGACGGCAGTGGCAGGGATGCTGCCTAGGGCCCGTCGGATCCCTCACAGTCTGCTCACAGAGAAGCTGGCTTGAACCCTTCAACTGTTCACTGTCACCAATGAGGTCTCCCTTCAGGACAGCACACTTAAGAGTCATACATTTCATGTATGATGGGATCAGACTATGACAAATGGGGAGGGAGGGGAAAGGAAGAAAAGTGTGCATTTCCAGGCCCTGAAGATGCAAGGGAGCATCAAGCAAAGCCAACTGTAAAGCCGTGGGAAGAAAGGTAGAGATGACAATTCACAATAAACAGTGGGAATTCAACATGAATAGGAGCAAAACAGTTCTCAGAGTTGGCTTCTTCTAAAAGTCTATCTGCAGTCTGAACCCAGGGCGTGGAGTTATTTCTGATCGCTACTTTCCAGGCTCTATGACATTTCCCTTTAGATCTCATTTCATAACGTCAATGAGCCTTTTTTTTTTTTTTTTTTAGAAAAATGGCTCTAGATCCCATTTTGAGACTAATATAATCTATCTATTGCAGTGTTGGGAGGTAGGGAGCTGGATTGATGGCCCCACATCAGACATGGACTCTATTTCTGGCTCAGCAGCTAATTAGCTGTAATCCCCATCAACTCCCTCAGTCATTTCTGGATTTCAGTTCCCTCATCATGAAAATAAAGAGTTGAAATAGAAACCAATGATTCTGAACTGTACTGAGTTCAAAGTTCCTTTGGGAATCTCTTGAAAGTAATATATCTTCCTCATTAAAGTATTTGTGTAATACTGTATGGCATTTTATTTCCAGGTATTGATAAGTCCTATGAAGTTCCAGACTGGAACCTGGTCCTTGGATTTTAGGATAAGAATCTATAGTTTTGCTCAACCTTAAACTCAGTTCAGGTTCTAAACATTCTATAAACTTATAGGAAAAGCTTAATTTTTTTGAGGGAATAAGGTAGGAATTTTATCCATTAGTGTCTATTAAAAACATTTAAGACTTAAAAGAAAACACATCAATCTCCCTTATATGCAAGCAGTCTTATCTTCCATATGCCCTAGTAGAATGGTTTTTTACTTATTTTGCTTTTACATCTTTGAAACCATGTCTTAAATTAGAACCATTCAACTGTAGGCAGTCCATGTGGGGGTGAGTCTACGTAAGGGGCCTAACATCTTATTAGGATGTTTCATATGATGCATTCAGAAAGCATTTTCTTATTTATTTTGAAATAAATGTCATCATTGTGTATAGATGATAATATATCCAAAAGGAGAAAATAGAAAATTAGAACTTGGCAGCAAAAAATTTTTTGGTAATCAGCCTTTTATCTTTAAACAGGTTTGTGTATATGTGTGTGTGTATACAAATGTGTTACCTATGTTTCCTAAAGGAACCAGGGCACATTCCTGTGACTTTAGAATTCTTGGATCATAGATTACTATACCCCAATAATAATTTAATTCAATGTAATCCAGAGGCCAATATTTCTGATTGAAGAGTCTGAAGCCTCACTAGTTTGAGTAGTTGAATGACTAGTGGCTGACTTTGGTGGATTTTGCTCTTGTTCATTCTTAGTAAATCAAGTCACCAACACGCTTACTGGAGAGAATAATTGATGATTTGTTAATCTCTTCACTCTTGGTCTGCAGATAGCAGATTCGTTGGTGATTTTTACATGCCAATAACAAAAGCATAATAACAAAACATGCCAATAACAGCAACAACAACAACAACAACAACAACAAAAAAATACAAAAGCCCAGGTGTGATAAACTTTGTTTCCACTTGTTGAAAACAGGACTGCCTCATGCTGCAGGCGTAGGCTGCTAGAGGAAAGTAGCTGTGTAAACGGTTTACTTTCTTAAACTAACCAGGGATTCAAAAGCCATACCTGGGGAGCAGGTTGCTAAAGGTGAGGAAGGGAAGTAAAGGCAGGTCGGTGTGTGTGTTGGGACTGGAGAGGTCTTGATAGAGGGAGAAGTAACCATGCTCCTGACACTTTATAGAGCCCTGCCCTGTCTCGAGTAATATTTTCCACAAAGGGGCGTTTCTTTCAAAGGAGGAAATGAGGGAAGAACGAGTGAGTTGGAGGGAGGGTTCTTATGAAGAACAGAAAAAGAAGAAGAGGAACCAAGAATGAAGAAAAAGAAGGCACCATCTCAAAGAGGGTGAACTATATACAAGAAAAAGAGGATGAGGATGTGAAGAGCGGACGGACCAGTAGCACTGCATGGTGTGTGCCCATATCTGAGAGGGCTCTGTGCAGTGCTGAACATCTGATCAGGGTGGTGTCATAGGATACAGCGTTTGTGGTAGGAACCGGAAATATAGTCGTCAGATGCCAACTTAAGCTTTTGGAGAGGATCTCCCCATAGACTCTCAGTTTCAGGAGGACCGAGAATGTTCCTCGCTGGCACCCTTTGAATACCCAGCATGTTGCCCAGCAGAGTGTGAGCCTGACTTAAATGCTTGCACATTGGTTGGTACCTTTTCTTCATTAAAAATACCTACTTAGCACAATTTTTAATGAGTAATTTTTTACATTCTTCACTGTGTTTATATGGTTAATTTTTAATAACGAATGGGGGGATGTGAGCAAAAGAAAGTACCTTTTCCTTTAAAAAAACCCTACTTACTTAAATTTATTGAGTTAATGAAAACAGATAAAATAGGAAGTAATAAAAGGGTGAGCTAGTAAGAAATGGTCAAATGTAACATCCTGTGAATTTTAATCATCTTTGTTTCACAAATTAAAGTTTCTGTCACTCACAAGAAGCTCAGAGGTCCATGGAACAGACAAGTATAGAGATGGCAAAATTGCTCTTCATATCTAATGCCCCTGTTTGTTTCTTTGCCCATATCATTAGGGTGCCACCTGGTTTTAGTCTTACCAAAAAAATGAAACAAAAGAACACCCCCCCCAAAAAAAAAACCCCAAACCCTGAACTGCTAATTATATCCTGCAACATATTCAGTTTGCAGTGATTTCATTCGACTGTTAATGTTAAAATGAACACAGCACTATCCTGCTTCAAAGATATTATTTAGTGAAAAAAAAGATTATAAAATGACTAAAGAATTTAAACACGAGAAACAATGAACATGTATGGATAGGATGCAGCTATATTGAACATAAAGAAGCATCTATTTTAAGGTGTCACATGTGCTTGTCCTATGTTATATGTAGCTCTGTCCACTGCCAAAGAGCTTTTGTAGTCAGGTTTAAGTACAATTACTTTGTTCTCAGATTTTGCTCAGTCACTGCTGTTTTTCTCTGGGCTCTCACTGCCGTTGAGTCAATTCTGAGTCTGCTGGGTACGGTAGCAATGCCCCTGTGAGTTTCCGAGGCTGCAAATCTTATGAGAGCAGAAATCCTGTCTTTCTCCCATAGAATGGCTGGTGGACTCAAACTGCTGACCTCCAGTTAGCAGCCCCACATAGAATCCACTATTCAACCATGGTTCTTGACTACTGTTGCTGCAAGTATCCAAATGCTACCTGACCCAAGCTTATTAGTGATTTCATAATTCTTGGGCTGCATTTCTGCTTTTTCATAAACTCTCCCAGCTTTTTGATTGGTTGGAGAAGAGAGAAAAGAATTCCATGGGATAGATACAGGTAGGTCTGATCATAAGGAGATTCCTTCCCAGTTTCACATATGAGAACTGGTTGAATGTCACTGGGATCCAGGATAGGTAATCTGTAGAGACAGTAACTGGATTAATGGTTTCTTAAGGTATGGCAGAGAAGGTTTGAAGGGAATTGGGAGCTACTAATGATGAGTACAAGATTGATAAAAAATGTTCTAAAATGTATTGTGATGATAATTTTATAATCTTTCTTCATGTGATTGAACTATTGAATTGTATGATGTGTGAATTTTATGTCAATGGAACTGTTGGGGAGAGTAAAGGAAAACCAAAACTTCTTCATACTTTGTTGTCCCTCTACTAATCTATGACACTATTTGAGGATGAAGTCATGTATTTTATTTACTGTCACTTTTCTCAAAAGCAAGACAGCAAACTCATTGCCCTCAGGCATTTCTGACTTATCGTGACCCTATAGGACAGGGCAGATACTGTCTTGGAAACTCTGTGTGTTTCCAAGACTGTCACTCTTCATAGGAGTAGAAAGCCTCATTCTTCTCCTTTGGAGTGGCTAGTGGTTTTGGACTGCTGAACTTGTCGTTAGCAACCCACCATGTAACCCACTTATGCCACGAGGGCTCTTTTTCTTTGCCTAACATCTGTAAATATTTCACTGAAACAACAAATAAAGACAATTGACCATTTATCCAACTCAACATAGGCTCCAAAGTCATGGAAACAGGGTTTTTAAAGAGCTACCAGACAGCCTATGGACACGGGAACCTGTGTAAGGCAGAAACCTATCAGACAAGAAGAGTTCCTTTATTTTCCACTAAAATAGGCATTAGCAAAGTGGTTAAATTGTACGTTGTCAAAGGTAGGAAACTTGAGAGGCCAGAAAAAATAAGGCAATCCCATTGCGTTCCAGTTCTCACAAGTTTCGCTGTGATTCAAATAACATATTACCCACAGAGGGGGGTGAACACTGTTACATGCCACCCAGAGCACCCTTCTGGTGCTGGGTGTGTTGCTCGCAGGCAGCCCTCAGCTGTCAGTCCTCTTTGGGAATTGTCTGCTCTGAAGAGAGTTTTATGCTGCAACAATAACGGATGCACATGGGACTGTAAAGGCCTTCTTGCACAAAACCTGAAGCATTTCTGAAGGGTGATCCCAGCTGCAGAGCTCACTGAAGGACCAGTTGAGGCCTCTGTTCAGGCTGTGTTACCATAACCCTTTGCCTTATCCTGTACCCTGCCTTTTCCCTCCCTTCGCTCCACAGGTATTGATTCCAAGAACCCAAACCAACCAAACAAACCTGTGGCCATCAAGCCAATTTCAATTGATAGCGACGCTGTAGGACAGAACAGACATGTCCCATAGGGTTACCAAGGCTGTAATCATTCAGAAGCAGACTGCCACATCTTTATCCACCATGAGTTGCTTGTGGGTTTGAACTGCCAACCATTCAGTTAGTAGATGAGCACCTTAAGCACTGCACCACCAGAGCTACTTATCACGGAGGAACACTTCCTAATAAATCTCTTTGTGCTAATCTTCAACTCAGAATCTGCTTCCCAGGAACTGATGACAGGGAATTTAACATCTTTCTTCTAATCTTATTCATAACATGAATCCCTTGTCTCGGTTTTGAAATAGGTTGAAATTCACCTGAGATTCAGAACTACAAGGCATACTGCTGGATACTGGGAATTCACAGTCATTGCTAATATGAACCTTACAGGGAAGCAGATGGGTAAACACACAGTTTCAAAGATAAAACAATGAACAAGCTAAGTCCTAGGTTCAAGGAGCATGTGCAGGAAGAGTAACATAACTGGAGACATAGATGACAAGGGTAGGTACCTCAAAGTGGACGTGACTATCCTTAAGTCTTCCAGGCAGTCTGGTATGCATAAACCTCTTTCAACATATTTTAGGAGATCATTCACTTTTTTTTTTCACTGTGCAACCCACTTCAGTGCCCGATGCCCGTGGGACAAAGCCAGGTAATAGTTTGGGGTTACAGTTCGCTCTGGCATGGGACACTCTGAGAAGCCCATGGGGTCGGGCCTGCCATCAATCCAAACCCATCCATGAGATCATTCACTTTTTAAAAAATTTAGAAACGAGAGACATTTTTTATCTACCCTGTGAAAATGTGAGTTCAGGAGATGTGCTGCTGTCGTGTGCTGTCAAGTTGATTCGGCCCCATCGTGGCTTTCCCTCGCAGAGAAGAATGGCTCGCAGGGTCTCCTGGGCTGTAATAATTAGGGCAGCAGATCGCCCCGTCCTTCCTGTGCAGTTAGGGTAGGTTCAAGCTGCTGATCTTTCAGTTATTTAGAAGGCAAAGAATCTTCATATAAATTTAGTTCTAATTGAATTTAATGTGAATTTGACACTATAAAAGTGGCTAAATATCTTGACATTCTACAGAATAGTACATATTTTCAGTATGTTACTGAAAAACAAAGGATAGCAACTATGTACAGGTGTTGTTTGTTTGTAGTGTGCCTGGGTTCATTTGTCTTCCTGGCTGTGCTATCTCGTTTACTCTCCATGCTCATAACAACACTGAGAAGTTAATCTAGTGTCATCCCTGTTCACTGCTGATGAAACAGAGGCTCCAGGAGGCTAAATGGACTCTTATCACATAGCTGATGGCTTGAGTCAGAGTTGAAGTAAATCATCCTGTCTTTCATGTTTTTGGGTCCTTCATCGCTTACCCTCATCACCCTCTATTAAAATCTTCCATCAGAAAAGTTTCTCCAATAAATAATTTAAAATCCCTCGCCAGAGCAAAGTCTTTAAACAGATATCCCTGTCAGACATTTCCCCAAGTTCTGAAGTGGAAAGTAGTTCACAGGGGAAAATTACACTCACCCTGGCTAAACTCATAGCCTCAAACACAATGTAGAAGAAAAGGGGAAAAGGCTAGAGAAGTGCTTGCTTCCCTGGGAGGGCTGTTACAGTTTAGGGTTAAAATAGCTTTTAGATCTATTTTTTCTCCCCAGTGGAAGCACTGACCTGCCAATCTGAACAATGAGGCTGAGTGAGAGGATGGCACGTGCCCACACATTACTGAAAGCATCGGGAGGAAAGCTCTCAGGTTTGACACCCAGCTAAGGGAACTAGCTATACAAATGTGAGCACCAGGGAAGAAAAATCTGCTAAATCATTCCATTTTCATCTTTACTTGTTTTATTTAGCTTTCTCTGCAACAGAGTATAAGCCTGAATGCATTTAGATCCTTTTTTGACTGTTACAGTGGTTGTTAAATTATCTTGGAATTTTAGCCGTCCTAGTTTGTGCTCGTACATTTTTTTTTCTTTTTAGGTTCATTAATCCTGGGTTTCATATACGAAAAAAAGAAAAAAAAATACATCTTCAAGAAGGTGACGCCAAATGACCTATCCCCTTCTGGGATGCACCTTGATATGTACAAACAAAAACTAAACCAAACAATACAAACCAAAAATACTGAACATTTTGGAAACCAGATCAGGTCCAGCATGCATCATCGAAGGGATCTGCTGACAAAGTTTTTACTGTTCAACTCAAATTTATGTCTTTGATCATCTATATTCAACTCTTGAATACATTCTGTTTAGTAACCACTTTCCTCTTATCCCTCAATTGTGGACAGAGGAGACCACCGGAAGCTATTTCCTATGTAGTTCCCACAGATGGGTCTTGGGCTCCCACAGTCATCCATTGCCTTCTGCAAACCAGATTCTCACACTTAAGGCTTTGCGACTAATCCTTCCATGTTGGATTATTAACACTCTATTACAGAACTGTGTCTGTGAAATTTAAAATCACTTTAAAGACACAAAATTACAAAGAAATCACATCTGCTCATTATCCTCCCTCTTTTACCTTTTGAGATGGTATGATGCTGGAAAATGTCAGTCAACTTCATTCGGCCAGAACTTGAACATTGACCGTGTTATGGAGTGCGGCAGGTGTGTGTGTGTGTTCAAAAACTAAGTGGAAACATTGAAGGAGAGAATAATGAAATTCTTCTTCAAATTTTTGAAGCCCTTTTATATTTTCCAATCTTTGGAGCAGCATTTCAATTAGAACCATATTGTTCGATCAGAAAAGCGGGCTGTACGCTCCTCATTTGCCTACTTTCACTGGATTTGGATTGAGTCCATGAGCACCAGTACTAAAGGGGCCTAGCCTACAGGCAGATCCAACTTCTCTGTTCCCTTTGAACACCAAAGTGATGGTGGGTTTGACATGAGAAATCAGATCATTACAAATCTTGGAAAGCAGGAAGCTTTCTGTTCTTTCATACTTGATTGGGGGTGTGCCATCTACAGAGACTCTCTTCGAAAGTGCCCCAATATCAGGTTGGAAGGAGCAAGGATGAATTCCCTTTACTGCAACTGCCTAGTGGCACTTGGTGGCACAGAACAATTTCAGGCCCTTTCTCCTCTCCCCATCTTCATTTTCTCCATCTGTTCTGTAATGTAATTTTTTTCTCCAATACTTTTCAGAACGTTTCTTACCTCCTTTCACTCCTGTTTCAACACCCTCGTTCTCCTCTGTCCTACAGGGTTGCTGTGAGTCAGCAGTGACTGGATTGCTGTGGATTTCTGGAGGACTGGTTAGACCGAATCATCATGTATCTGAACTACTGCTGTGGTACCCCTGCTCTCCAGCAGATAACTGAGGTTAATGAAAAGAACTCTGTAATCAGACACGCATTTAGGTTTCTAGTTGGCCACACTTTGTTAGTGGACCTGGAACAAATCATTCAATCTTTCTGAGTTACAATGTCTTCCTCTTTAAAAGATGACCTTTTGGGGAATTCTTCTTATGGGCACTGCTTAGCAAAGCATTTCATGCCCCAGAACACTGAACCTTTCGTATCAATTTTCCTGCGTCTCAAGTCACTCTCTCCAAACTCTTTCTGATTCTGCTCATCTAAAAAGTCCTTCCCAGATTATGTCTCAAATGTTTTGGCTGAATCACTTCTACATACTCTGTGCATCTTTTTTTGGAACCAGACTAAAACCCTTGCCATACATAATTGATCAACCCAAGCTTGAATTTTTTGTTGCTGTTGTTGAATGCAGAAAATGCTCACCTTATATCTCATGGAAAAGATCGAAAGGGTATTTTAGAGGAAACTGGCTGGGTTCTGACCGTATTATTATTCTTTGTTTCTGACCTCAGGTTTCCTGAGGTTCCTTGCCGGTAACATAGATACTCATCTTATATTTAGTATTTTTTGATTGTTGTAAGGATCAAACGAGATATTGTATTTTGGAAGCACTTAATAAATTATATCTCATACAAGAATAAACTATTTTTTAAAATAGTAAGTAATAAAGCCCCTTAATTCTTCATTGCAACCTGTATTAACTCGTTCTCTTTCTCCTGCTCCCCATCTTTCCTCACCTAGAAAACCTCTTTCCTCTGGCAATCTCCCCCCCTCAAACCTCTGGAGAAGTTTCTTTCATCAAGTGTTCAAAGCAAGGAATTTGTTAAGCAACCACTGGCTTCTCATTCAAATGAGATCTGAAATCATTTTCTGAATGATTATACAGTCATGAACTATCAAATTATATTAAATATAGTAAAACCTGGGTTCAAAACAGATTTATCTAGCTTGTCCTTTAAGAATGTGCAATCCATGTGAATTGAATTCATCATGCCCTTTACATTACCTCACAACCAAATTTTTTTCTGGAGAAATTAACTAGAATAAATAACTGAGTTCATTATACCCCTCCAAGTTGAAATACATTAAATGTAGGGTGACAACCACCTTCCTCAACTATTAGGAAGTACTCAAAACTCCTAATCCATAATTTCACTGATTTTAGAATAATCATGTTGAATAATTAGATTGATTTCATGTCATTTATGTCCATTTTTAACATTATTTTCTTATCCTTGATGATATCATCTTCTGATTAGTTAGCTTCTATGTTAATTTTATAAGTCCCATTACCATTAATTTACCTATTTATATAGTAATGAGATGCCATAGGAAAAGGGGAAAGTGTATACTCCAGGGAAGAAATTTAATTACAAGGATAATAATAGTATGTCCTTCCTTAACTCTCTTTGTCGTAGCTGCTTAAAAATAAGCATCACCAGTGTCTTATAAGATTGATTATATTAAAACCAGGTTAGTTCTTTGAATCAAAGGTATATTGTGACTGAATGTTGTAGACAGCCAGAAAATTTCATGAGCTGTGTATACCAAGAACACTCTTTTAAGAGCATACTTATGATTGCGATATGGCACCTTAAAAACATGACCCTATTAACTTTTCTGGACACAGCTTTCCTTCACTGTCTCTAGTAGGTTATAGGAAGTAGTTGAAATGCCCCTGTTTTCAAAAGGATATGTAAACACCAATGCTTGCACAAGTCTGAGAGCACCCCGTTGGAGAAATGATGCGTGCTCTAGGTTTTGTTTCCTGGATTTAGACTTCCTGTATGAAGTCATCCTCCATAGAGAGAGTTCATGTTGAAAGGTCAGATAAGACATCCATGGTTTTCACTTTTTATTTATCTATCTATATATGTATATTTTAATCATTTTATTAGGGGCTCATACAACTCTTATCACAATCCATACACACATCAATTGTGTAAAGCGCATTTGTACATTCATTGCCCTCGTCATTCTCAAAACTTTTCCTCTCCACTTAGGCCCCCGGCATTAGGTCCTCATTTTCCCCTCCCTCCCAAGCAAAAGGAAGAAAAAGAAATTTCTTGGTGCCCATACGGAATACTCTTGAGGGTATGTACGGGGTAGGCATGCCCAGGCCAAGGGTCACCCCGTTCACTGTGCCCCCGTGCGTTTTCACTTTTTAAGACTTAAAAGAATTCTGTGCCTGGTCGAACAACTGAACTCACTGCCTCGAGTCCATTCCAACTCACAGTGGCCCGAAAGGACAGACGAGAACTCCTCCTGGGGGTTTCTGAGACTGCAACTCTTCACAGGAGTAGAAAGCCTCGCCTTTCTTCTGAGGAGTGGCTGGTGGGCTTGACCTGCCTACCTTGTGGTTAGCAGCCCAATGTGTAACCACTACTATGCCACCAGGCTTCTTTCTGTGCCTATTACAGTGAAACATTCACTCACTTTAGTTAAGGCCTTATGGTTTTAATAAGGCCAACTGTCAGTCAAAAGTAGAGCATTTGAAACTAGGCTTTTTGCCATGACATCATCACAGGAACTGCATATGTCTTTATAGAACATTCCATAGAACAATTCATCATGTACTTGGTTGGGGTTCTATTAACACAAGGCTGGGCAATTCAAGGGCATAAACACTTATCCAGAATTTGGGGACTCGGGCTTCTCACTGCACCTGTGCCCGCCAACAGTTGCATGACCAGAAGCAAACCTTTTTATTTCTCCGGGTCTCATTTTCTAATGTACTAAATTTAGACTGTGGGTTGGCAAATTCTTCAAAACCCACTGCCAAGCAGTGGGTTCCGATGGCTAGTGAGCCTCTCCTTTGCTTTCCATTGTGACTCCCTCTCTCCAGCTCTCTGATAGTCGAACTGCTCTGTGGGTTCGCAAACTGCTAATCATCCCAGACGCAGAAAGCCTCGTCTTTCTCCTGTTGAACGCTGCCCTCTGCTCAACTCCTTCCCCGCCAGGGCTTTTTTATTTTGAGTCACTTTTAATTTTATTCTTCTGAACAGAAGATAATACATTACTCAGGAAAAGTAAGCCTCTCAGGATGGGCCTTGGCATATCATAGCTGTTCTGAATACAACTACAAAACAAGGCTTTTTTGTTAAAATTGTATTTCAGAAAAATTCATAAATCTCTTACCTCTACAATTCCTATTTTTCCATCATCTCTTTGCCCATACTGATCCACAAAAGTCTTCATTTCAGGTGATAACTCCTAAAATGATGTAAAAACAATGAAGATGCTTGTAAAAACAAAAACAACTATGCTTGTGGTCATGTTTCTAACACATTGCAAAAAGATCTAGCACTGGGACCATTTAGAATTACACACACTTAATGAGCTACTCTCATGAAAATTCAGGACATAACTGATACACGATATTTATGATTTCAAGCGAAAACATTATAATGATGATTCTTATTTTTAATCAACCCCTCTTACTTATCTTCTATTACTTGTTTTGACAATGTGCTGTTTTTTTTGAAAATGTAGTTAGAATCATTCTATTCATAACCTTTAGTGAATTTAAATATAATGATCACTGTCAATGAACTTTAAAGATTGTGTTCTTCACTAACTGTGCTTTTACATTGCTACACTATCTTCTATGATATTTTCTTCTTCTACCCTCTACAATAATATTTCAATAGTGAAAGGTAACAATCAATGACTTCTGTTTGGACAGGTGAAAAATGTAAATGTGGAAGAGTGACTGTCAGCAAAAACTATTTTTAGAATCAAAGTGGCATTAATTAAGTAAGCTAGAAAATCATATGAGAAAGATATGTCAGATAACGACTCGATCAATTTGCGCTTTGATCAGATACAGACAAAAGAAATGGGTTTGTTTTATGTTGCGGATTATGCGTGCTTAAGATCTTTGCTACCAGTGGTAACTCAGGGAGTTTTCCAGTTTTTGCCTGGTTTCTATTTTGATGTTCTCTCTCCCTTGCATTTAATACAGCAAGACCTGGTTAAGATTGACCAAATTAATACTTTCTTTTGGCTTGTTTTTTAATCCCTTCGATTGCTTATATAAGCTCTTCACATACTGACAGTTTAGAGAGCTATGAATTCTAAACTACTGATATGAACATAGAACTAATATTCAGGAAGTTGAGTATTTACCCATGAGTCTCCAACATAGCCCATTTAAAATAGCCCTGTTGCATTAGCTGAAGCCTATTTAAAATAGGTCAGTTCTTACCAGTGCCCTATTCTGTGTCCTTGGGACAGTAAATTAAGGTCTCAGTGTTCATCATTACTAAGAAGGTGATATTATCTATCACACAGACATACACTAGGGAAAGATAGATTAATATAATAATTTAAGGACTATGTTGAATCTAAAAGTCATTAGTACTAGTACTATGAAATCTGTTTTGATCCAATGTAAATGCCTTTAGGATAATTAAGGTAACAGGGTAACAAAACAATTTAATTATATGGTAGCCTTTTGTAAAAACCTCATTTACTCTTGATAAATTGCAATTTGCATGTATTATATTTTATTACTGGAACAATTGTAATACATTAATTAAAACAATTCTTACGAGCAATAGTGAGACTACCAGTTTCTAGTGTTTTATACATCCCTTAAAGTAACAGAAAACCAAGCATTTATTCTGAAATCTGGAAGAAGGTGTAATATAAGCAAATAGACTCCACATTTAGTTTATGAACTCTCTGGGTCATAATTATAACTAGATCTATGTTTCAAACAGTGTAAGAATATAATGATAATAGTAATAAATAAAGTTTTATAAAAATGAATACAAATTTAAAGACGAAACCAAATGTTTAGTGTAAAAGGGTAGTCTTTGAAAATCTACTGGTTGTATTTCATTAACATTATATTCACTTACATGAGGGAGGTTCACAAAATTCATGGAAAGATGGAATTCAAAGATAATGGAATTTTTCTACAAAGGTTTTCAAGCCCTCTCATATTTAATATTTTTGACATTTCATATTTTGAATATTAAAAGCTGAGCATTTTTCCATTGATAAAGTGAGGTATGCTATCATATAGCAAGGAATGTTGAGAACCCTGGTTTCTAGATTCAGCCTTTATGGTAAAGGAAATGCAAATACAGGTTAAATACAATGGAGTTGATAGTGAAAAATGTCTGTTGCATGAAACGTTTGATCCATATATTGGTTTAAATTTTAACTATGCAGAACTTATGCAAAATCAAAACAAGTCATCAGAAAATCAGGTTTGAACCAACTTGATATAATTCTTTAACTGTGCCTGTTTCGTATGAAGGATTATAATTTAATAGTCGGAGCTTCAACGGTCTTACCGTTTGAGGCTTGGCTGGTGAAAACAGGGAGCTCTGAATTCTTTAACTGCCCCCCCCACCCCCCCTCCCGGAAAAAAATCTCCCACATACAGACATTATGTACAGAAAGTCATACATACTAAAACTAGAGAAGAAGCAATTTCAGAAATTTTTTTTAAGTATTTAAATTTCTATGATAAAATAAATCTCAATTAAAACTATTAATTTCTTTGAAAACTTATTTTAAAATTGTTTTTTAAAAAGAAATTATTTAGCACCTTGAAGTATATTTACTGTTTGTCATTCTAAATTTTGTGGAAAATGAGATTTTTTTTCACCAAGATACTTTAACCAGGTATTTAAATGAGGAAGAGAATTGCTTTTTTCTTAGTCCAAGATACATAGAAATACAATGATATTGAACAAATTTACTTATATAGTACATATGGTAGGAAAGAATGTGGAGAGTAAAAAATAGAACACAAATATTTTCTATTTTATTTGCTATCACTAGATTATATTTCTAGAGTTATATAACATTAAATCTGGATAAAACAATCCCTAGAGAACTCTCAGTTTTAAATCAATTTTGTGAATGATTTTACCAACTGATAGTTTAATAATGCATTATAGTACATTCACAGCCCTTTGAGATTCCTTTAACTATGCTGTGCAGAGATGTGTATCACACAATATTCAATTTAGAAAAACAAAAGGTAATCCTATTACCCAGTTGTATACATATAAAACTCAGAGCTAAAGGTGATGATCTATTAAACAGTCTTCTGGGTGCATGTATTTTCCTTTCAATGTAAAGTCTCTAACTATAGTCAGAAAGGCTGAAGGCCAATAATAGTGAAGTAGCCCGTAGGCGACAGTGGCTTCTGAAAGGCACTGTTACATAAACCTCAGTAGATAGTGGGCTTTTTTTTTTAACCTATTTTCCTCTATACAACTTTTTTTGCCTACATTTAAAGCTGATCTTATTTTATTTTAACTCGGACCACCTTTTGTTTTTCTTCACAGGTAAATACAAACCCAGAGGAAGCTATTCATAATTAATGGTAGTCACTTTTTTACTTAATTAATGGTTTATTTGTTTAACTATTAGTTTAAATCACACATTAAGCTTATATTGCTCCTCAGTAGAGTATCACGATGCTTAAAAAATATATGAACATATGAAGCTTTTACTTTTATTATCTCTAACTTTTGGATTTCTGTTCCCACAGAAACGAAGACCTCTTCTTGGTAAATTCGTCGCCATTGCTATGTTGTAAGCTGTCTAATTTGTTTCGTGAGGAGGATCACGGAGAGGACATTTGCTCATCTTTTCACCATCCCAGCCATCATAATTGACGAGAGGACCGAGCACCATGTCTGCAGCTCTGTTTCCTGACCACCAAGGGGCAGAAATGTACCTCCACCCCCTCGCTTCTCATACAGTACACGTTAAGTTAAAAATTACCTAACAAACTCCGTGGTACAAGAGGTGATGATCTGCGAAAGGATTTCACACACCCACCCTTTCCTTTTAAGAGCTATTTAAGAAAGTACAAGTATAGAAATACATCTTTTAAAAGCTCCGGTTTCAGACTGTAAGGCATTTCCCTTTAGGAAATCTCTCTCTCTCCCCCTCTTCCCCTACTACCAATTTAGAAGGACGCTCTTGCTTTCAGATGGCAGTCAATAGAAGTTTACGTTCACCAAGAACCACTTGACTTTGCAGGCACTTTAGAAAAGCAGAAGGATGTTTGTTATTTTACGGTGGAAGGTATTATTATTATTATTATTATTTTCCTCCTTCCCAAACTCGAACCTACCAATCCAGCCTTCTTCCGTGCCTGCTGGAGCTCCAGGATCAAGTTCTGTAGCTCCTTCCCTTCCAGATAACCACTCCCTGCAAAGACAAAGGCAGCCAGGTTGCAAGCATCTTCAGAGTTTCCTCCCTGTGCGCTTTCCAGGATAACTATTTTTCCGGAGACTCGGAACTATTTTCTCACGCCTCGACATTGCTACAAGTCGCAATGAACGTTCCCTTCCCCGGCTGGAGAACTTTGGCTACCTTGAAGGCAAAGAGGGATGTTGGGGTTCTGAAGGCAGCCATGGAAACTTTGAGGGACCAGACCCTCCGGTGCTGACTCTGGCGTCCCCCACCCCCACCCCACTCCCCTTCTCTGCCTCCCGCTTACTGTTACCATTTCTAGAGACAAAAGTTAAGGTTTTTCGGATTACACAGAAGCCATGTAAACTTTCAGGCGGGTACCCAACGAGATAAGACTGGGGGAAGGGAGGAAGAAATGAAGGGGGGGGGAAAGAAAAAGGGCTCGGGAAAGAGGGACAGGGGAGGAAACGGATCTTAAATATTTAAAAAGATAATCACCGTCAGCGTCGAAATGCAGCCAGATCTCGAAAAACTGTGAGGCTGAGATCAGGGGTGATTGCAGGTGGGATTCTGCCATTGTACAGCGGGCGTGCGCCTGCGAGTGAGTGTGCGCGAGTGTGAAGGAGGAGTTGAGCGTGGGTGAGGCTGGGCGGCCGGGCGCTGTCCTCGGTGCTGCTCAGCTCAGGCTTTCCTCCGGAGTTCTCTCTCCACACCCGACACCCAGTTCTCAGTATTTATCCTGAAGGCACCAAGCCGGGCCACGCCTCCTCCTGCCTCTCATCCCTCATTCCCCGCCTCTTGCTTGCACTAGCCTTCTCCCCCTCTCTTCCAGTGTTTTCCATTTCTCTAGGAAAGCTAGTTGGAACAGGAGTTTGGGAATGCAGGAAGCAGCAGGTGGTGTGAGACCCTTTGCCCAAAGGCGAGGTGCTGAAAACAGTTGCTTTCCCCTCAAATACTCTTCGTCAGGAAATAGGTCGTTTTCTTTTCCATTCTTAAATATTATAGCCAAATCGCATCTATGGAAAGGTTTTGGATGGCAGATGGAAGAGAAAAAGCTCATGAGGAGGAGAAAGAACCCTGTATATCAGTGATGACCATATGTGCCTGTGTGTCTATGTGCGGAGAAAGAGCGTCAGGCGTCTGGGATACTTGAACCAAGTTAGAAGAACACCTGGCAAGGGTTCAGTTAATTTGATTAACGTAGACAATGAATTTGTTGATATTAATAACTATCTATTTTGTGCTTGTGAATGTCATCATGTGGGTGTTCCTTAAATTGGTTTATATGAATTAATCTTGCCAACACGAGAAAGCAGGATTATGATCTATTTTGTTTTGTTTTAGTTCGACAGAGAATTATAATTGGAAGATGACAGAATTAAATGATAAAACCTTAAGATGTTAGAAAAAGAAGTAATCTTAGACATACTATAATTTATCACTATCATTTAGGAAGAATGAGTAAACAAAGAGAAACTAAGGATTTGGCCCAAGTTCACCCTGGGTGAATTGGTGACCCAGCCAATGCCCCATTCTATGGCCTTAACACACACATCTCATTACTTATCCTTTTTTGTGCCAAGTAATCTCTTCGGGGGAAAATTTCAGAAACTGGCCATCACCAGCAGATTTGGTACATTATGTGTTTTTATATAATGCATGATATATTTAAAATTATTTATTATTTACATGGGAGAAAGAGGAAGCTTTTTGCTCCTGTAAAGGATGACAGTTTCAGTATTAATCCAGAGTTCTGCTCTGTCCTATAGCGTTGCTATTAGTCGGCTTTGACTTGATGGCAATGCATTTTGAGTTTATTATTTACATACATACTATTAAAATATTTAATTTTGAGACCATTAGGTCCACTAAAAACGTCTCCTAAGTATCTTATTTCAGTAGTACAAAAACAAACTATAGGAATATGAGAAAATCCAAATACAGCTAACACAAATTTAAAGTAAGTCACAATTTTTTTACAAGTCTAATTTAATAAGACAGCTGTGAAATGGATGTTTCTGAGATTACAAATCTACATAGCAGTGTATTTCTGGACCTCTATACGAGTCTTCTTTTCAGAGATCCATCAGTTGGGTGCATGGCTATTTTGTTCTTGTATATGTATGTATCAATGCTGTCCCTGTCTTCATGGTATTTTGTAGTGTATACATTGTTTCACTTTATTATCTCCTATGATCCTCCTATATCATCCCTGCGAGTGGTACTATTAATTTCAGTACTATTAATTTCATTTTACATGAGCAGTATACTTGCAGTTGAGATGTTAAATAACTTTGTGGTTGTTCATTAAATAGAAATGTGTTAGATTTTCATTAATCTAATGAATATTTATTAGCATCTAAAATTTCAAGCACTCTGCTGGACACTAGAAATAAAGAAAAGACATGCTCCGCCTTCTCCTAGCTTAACTTTGTGAAGATACCATCACCTCAACACATATCAAAGTATATATGGTTACTGAAATAATGAAAGTATTCAAAAAGTATTCATAAGGTAATATGTATGCATATCCTCAGAAAGTACTATATATGCATAACACTTTTAATTTTGTTTGCATTTGTTGACAAGCAACCTGAGTTATCTAAATTATCTTCCCATAGAGAAAACTTTTTGATGGATAGACACTTTCGATTGGAAGTTGAAGAGGTCATGGTTTATGTTGTGCAAGTTCAATATAACTCCTGGAAAATAAATTCTTAAAAAATAATTGTTACTATATTATCAGCCTATTTTTCTATGAAAAACATAGTGTGTGAACTTGGGTGCGAATGTTACAAGGTCAGATTTGAAGAGAGGGAGATCATGCACTGATTACAGAAATTATAATATTTGAAAAAGTACTCTAGGCTTTGGGTACAGTCTGGGACAAGAAAAAGTTTTTCAACTTACACTGAATGAGAAAAGGAGACACATGAGGTAAATAAACTGCTTCCATTAATACGGATAATATTGACAACAAATTTTCTTGCTTGAAAAACAGAATATAAATTCCTAAATAGTTTTATTATATTTAAGAAATTTTAGAATTTCATTTGAAATTCCCAAGTATTACATGACAATGTTTTAAAGTAAAAAACTATATAATTGTGTCAGTCCAGGGAGACTAGAGAAGCAAATTCATAGATATTCATATGTGTATAAGAAAGAGGTTTATTTACAAGAGCCATTGAATATTGAGAAAATGTCCCAGCCCAGTCCAGATCAAGTCCATAAGTCCAATATTAGCCCACATGTACAGTACCAATCTATAAAGTCCCTTTCAGACTCATGAAATACATGCAATGATGCCAAATGCAGGAGGATCACAGGCCAGTGGGTTGGAAGTTTTGTAGATCCAGTGGCAATGTAAGCATCTCAGCACTGGCAGGGTTCTCTATGTGGCTTCTCTGGCTCCAGAGATCTGGTTGCATCAGGGGAGGTCGATTGGCTTCCCCAGCTCCCAGGGTGTAGTGCCACGTGTCTTGTCAGTAAAGTGTCTCCAAGGCAATGATCAGAGAGAGAGGTGTCTCCCACCTCCAAGGAGGAAAACATAGGTGTTCCCAGAATCCTCAGGGGAAGGCCATGCCCACACAGAGAGGTCTCATTGGCTGTATAACCCAATTGACAGACTAGACTCTACCTCTTCACTCTTAATCCTCTCAAGTCCCAAGTTGACACCAGATTATGTAACTACCACAATAATATATAAGTAAAAGCAACTCCCTTTTACTTATTTCACTTCTCTAAAGTAATGGTAATTTCAGAATTTCTATGGAGAAGCGTTTAGGGATGTTGACCTTATTGGATGAGTGATGCAGCATGGGGAGGTCAGGAGGTTTTCCTGGAACTATGGGAAAGTGGAAACCCCACATTTCTTTTTTGAACCTCTTTATATATTTGTGTAGAGTGACTTTTTGAGATAACTAATGTAAACTATGGAGATCTAAAACCCCTGATTAAGTCATGTCTTTGTGTTCCCACTACTTTTGTGCTCCCAATACCTTGGATTTCAATCAGTATTAAAAAATCGATGCTACACAAATATAGAAATACACATATCTGGTTTTTTGGTTGTTAATTGGTTTTAAAGAATTGGGGTTTTCTTTCTGTATATTAATCTATAGTTTTTTATTATTAGTTCAAGAATAATTGTCCATTATTAACATCAATATCTAATTCATACTTTTCCACTGTTGAATGACACTGTATCTTATGCATTAAATACAATTATAGATATTAAATTATTTCTAGGTTTTTATTGCTACAAGCAATGTTGTAATAAACATCTCCATACAGTTATCTTAGATACATGTGTTTTATCACAGACTGTTTTCCTAGAGTAGTAAAATGTAAATATGCATATTTGAAAATTTAATTACTATTCTATGATTATTCTATCAATTTCTAGTAGTACTTTATACTCAAACTAATTTTTAATGAACTAATACTCAAATGCCTATCAGTGTCGTATTCTCATTAGTTTTTGTAATTTCTAGTCACTCTACTGGATAAAAAGTTACTCTACTTTCCTTTGTATGTGCTATTAATCTTTAAAATGTACCTTTTGATTATTTGAAGATAGAATTTTTATTCCTCATCCCTTTTCTTTAGTAGTAGAAATGTAATTTTATAAGAACATGGTTTTCCTGGAAATTGTTATTGCTCCATTGTCCCAGATTGACACCTTTCAGCAATATCTCTTCTCAGATTTACATTTTGGGAATTTCTATGTTAAATTCTTTTTTATGGTTTCTGTAAAGAAGTGGATGTCCCTGATCTATTGATTTGAAATAAGTTTAGGAGTACTTTTCCATCCTCCCCTCAAGTCTTCTAGTTCATTAACTTAGGTAAGAAAGAGTATTATTTCTGAAGTGCTTCCTTTCATTTCTCGTATTCTGGGAGAACTACAAATGCTTTAAATATAGAGATAGATTTTCCTGTAAGATTTGCGTTTCTAAAAACAGCATAGCAACCAAAGCAGTTTTACGACTTGCTTTATAGGCCTCATTACCCAAAGTTAAGGTGAATGGGTTCATGATCCAACATTGTCATAAAAGCAGAAGTAATTTATATACCAAAAAAAAATCTCTGGAGTAATTAAACCACCTTTGCCATTTTATGTTACTGAATTACCACATATCCATTCACATTCAAGCGACAGCAGTTCTAATTCACTATGCAAATTGGAAGACACAGAACTTCCCAGGTTTAATGAATGTTTTCTGAACTTTCATTAAGAAAAGTTAGAGATCTTTTGCTATAGGTCCAATTGCCTGCATAATATAATGAATCAGTCTCTCTTCACATGTTAGGCTCTCATAGAGGAAACCTTAAAAAATCAAATCCAACCTCTTGCTGTTGCGAAGATGAGAAGATTCCGAGTCGTGGATACCCTATGTGCTCTAAAGTCGAATTGTGACAGGTTTTTCTTGCACATCACCACGGCTCTCTGATGTGATACTCCTGAGTGGGTTTGAACCACCAGCCTTTAGGACAAGAATTGTGCAGGAACAGTTTGCACCCTAAGGACCTTGAAGTATCTCTACATGGATGAATTCGTTTTTCTGAAAGGAGATGATACCAACTACTGGTGTCCTCAGAAGGGTCTTCCTCCTGAGCAACATCTTTACCTTGGATGTTTTTCCCAATTATGGTTTGCATAATTTTAATTAGACAACTTTATACTCTG